CGAGACCCGGTTACGAGGGCCATTAGCGACTATACACAGTCTGCGAGGTAACTATGTATTCATGGATGATCCGAGAAGGCAATAATTTTAAGTAAATATGGCGTTTTTAATTACTATTGTTGTAGCCTACTACATGTCCACTTCTGAAGTAAGACATTCCCCAAGTACTTATACTAGTCTTGCAGTCCTGCATCTGATGGTTTTCCACGTATTTCATAACGTCATCTGTTTAATCTATCTACGAGACATAGCGCGTTACATTAACTATGTCTCACATTAAATAAAGTATTAAACTTTTTCGTCCGAAAGTTCATTGTGGAGAAATATTAATATTTTTAGAGGAATTCCGCTAAATCAGTAGAGCCGAGGGAGGTTGCATAAAATCAATACGATTAATACTTTAGAATATGAATATCATTATTATGATTTTTAACTCTTTATTTTTGCACTACTATTCGAGAAATGGGGTATTTTTATTTTGTACTTATTTCTTTTTCTGATGAAAAAACGGCTTTACGTATTTTAAAGTGCGAGATGTCATGCGAATTGTCTTCATCGGCGGTGTCATACATGGGCTATATTCCTATGGTAATAAAATGTTCTTAGTGGTTATAAAAAATAATAATAGACTTAAATATTATATTTTGTACAAAAAACGATAGATCAAGTGTTGTATAGTACGCACCATAAAAACTAAAAATTTATCTTTAACTTAAAGCAAACGGCCGACGCTTCCACGTTTTGAAGATTTAGCTCTAGTCAACAGCACAGTTGGTTGGGGCGGGACCTGGTCAGTAGTGGACGCTTCATGGCCGCCAGTGAGACTAGGTGTCTATGCCAGACCGCTTAGACGATGGCTCCGTCGGTTTCCACGCTCACGACTTTTGCTCATCAGCGGAGAAAGATTGGTTGCGGACCCTGCTGCAGAAATGGCACGAGTGCAGGTAAGGAATAAAAAAGGAATTATTATCTATACAAATAAATAAAATTGAAGTGTCTGTTTGTAATGTCAAAACAACAATTTTTTACTAAATGCACATGAAAGTAAATACGGTACTTATAACTAAAATACAATTTTTAAAATTTTTGTCTGTCTGTCTGTCTGTTTGTTCCGGCTAATCTCCGAAACGGCTGGACCGATTTTGACGGGACTTTTTTTGGCAGATAGCTGATTACATAAGGAGTAACTTAGGCTACTTTTGTTTTAGAAAAAGAATTAGGGTTCCGCGCAAAAACATAAAAATCCTAACACGCGAACGAAGTCGCGGGGAACAGCTAGTATAACATAAGTGGCTTAATTTTGCCGTGTCGTGGCGGCGTAAGAGGATACATCATCCATTTTTATCCTACGTCGGTTAGAGTTGACAATGAGATCTAACACAAAGATCTCGCGCCCTCCCAGAGTTATGAGTATAAAATTAATATGTCCAATCTTTCAATTTTCTAATAACATTACGGGAATGAGTCTTTGTAAGTGGTAGAGCCATGCTGCAGCTATATTAGTAGTAAAGCTGTAGCACGAATGGGTCGGCTCGACCGAGGAAGGACCACGCTCTCACAGAATACCAGGGTAAAATAGCAGCTTAAAACTGCTGTGTTTCGTATGGTGAGTGTAGAGAACCGGAGACCCTTTTACTGGAAAAGAGGCATTCCATCTTAGTCCTCACGGGTGATAACGCATCTGCATTTTGATTCGCAAACGAGGACATTACATGTAGATATCAGTGGGCCACAGCAGCCACTTACCATCAAGTGGACTGTGTGCTCGTTTGTCACTCTATCCTATAAAAAAAAAACATGGGTTACTGTAAAACATCCGAAAAGACGGGAATCAAAATAAGTAAATTAAACGTGATAAAATTTGTAAACATAGTTTTAGTCAATATTTGTTCATTGCTGCAACCTGCTTTTACAAAAAGAAAAAGAAAACAATCAACAAAGTATTTAAACAATATAGATTGCAGCAACAAAGAGGCCGCCAACTCAGCACAATGGCACAGTAACAGAGTTAATGCTGTGTTGTAATTCTGTCGGAGCCACATAAGTCGACTCGCCAGAAATCCCTGGTCATAATTAAGTAGAGGTTTACCTCTGTGTTTCGTATGGTGAGTGTAGAGAACCGGAGACCTTTTTTACTGGAACCGAGGCATTCCATCTTAGTCCTCACGGGACCACGCGGATAGATGTAGATGTCTATGGGCTACAGCAACCACTTACCATCAGGTGGACTGTATGCTCGTTTGTCACCCTTATCCTATAAAAAAAATTAAATAGAAACTGCGGTCCCCACGCGTAGCAGCTATGAGTAATATCCTCCTATGAGGCAATATATGGGCGTATGTTCAGCAGTGGACTTTTGATAGCCTGTGATGGTAACGCAATAATGCGTCTTAAATTAACCTATTTAAAAAAAATCGTTCTTGCGGAGCAGTTCAGTCACATGTCACAGTTAAGGGCACATGACGCAGGAGGGCCCCCAGTCTATTAATGAATTTTTGATAACCACCTTTATTCAATTATTTTGAAATCAATACGGCCTTTGTCGTCTCATTAGGTACTGGAATAATCTATTAGGAAATAAAAAGAAGGCAGGGTCAATTATAACGCATTTTGAACCTAAAATATATGTTGATAGGTATTTAACCACAGAATAAATAACAGTACAATGATTTAACCTAGGACAATTTCCAATTAACTTATGTATGTCTTTTGTTTTTCAGAAATTTCTGGGCCTGAAGCAGGTAATAACAGAAAAACATTTCTATTTCAACTCAACTAAGGGTTTCCCGTGCCTCTTGAAGTCTGAGGGTCAGTCTATACCACATTGTCTTGGCAAGACTAAAGGCCGCAGTCATCCATTCATCGATCCGGTTGCCATCGAAAGGTTAAGGGAATATTACAGGCCCTTCAACGAAAGGTTTTACGAGTTATCTGGTATAAATTTTGGATGGCCTTGAAAATAATTCTCAGAACTTGTGCTGTACAAATTTTACATTCTTTGCTTTTTAATTATATAATATTTGACTGAAATATTTTACGCTTAGAAATTAGAGAATAACGCTTGATTGACACATAATTTAGAATATCACTAGTGAAATATAGTTAAATTGTATTTCGACCGATTTATGTACCTATCTTCTATAGATTTATAAGGTCTTAATTTACGTACATATTTTACCTACCTATATATTTTCGTTTTATCAACCTGCTCGGCGAAGAATAAAATATTTAAATGACATGATGTATCTTGTTAAATAATTTATGTATTTTATAATGAATATTTGCTTATTTACCATTGTATCAATGATAAAAGAATACAAGCTAGAGGGGCCTGAATATATCTTTACCCAGCTTCTTCCGATAATGGCCCCTAAATTCTGATAGGTTACCAGAGCTACCTACGGAATTCTATTATATAACTTAACTCTAAAACATAATTATGAACTAAGTTACAGTCGGCAATTACTTTTATTTTTAGAGTTTACCTAGTCGTATTTCCTGTGTAATTGTAAAACATAAATTATTTTAAGACTGGACCATAGTATAGACCACAGGAATATAGTGCGCTAATAGTAACATTATTTAATCTGTGGCGCTTGTAATTATGCGTCAGTTGCTATAGTACAGTTACTATACTCTCCTGTATACGTCAGTTACTATACTCTTTGGTTGCTACGGCTGAATAAAAAAAAAAGAATATTAACAGCATGCAGCTTGTATTAGTCTTGTTAATTTTAATTTGAAAGGCTGCTGCTACAACATACAGTTCCTATCTTAATATCATCCATTATAATTCTAGTTCCTTCTAAATATAATACAATTATACTGTTAATTAATTACGGCTGTTTTTATATAGTATTGAATAGGATAGATAGAATATTTTATTCAATATAGACTGCAAGAATAGTTATTGAAATTCATTAATGCTTTTGCCACGGGTTTAGAAAAAACCTCTGTCTTCGTTCTTACCAATCACCAAGAAACCACCACAGAACACACTAACACCCTTAGGGAAACATCGCGAGACTATTTTCGGTCGTAAAAAGTTCAGTTAATATATGGCTAAGTACAAACTTTCATGGTGGCACTTCGCACTGTATTTTACTATCGTATATAATATATTCGCTATATTTTGCGACATAATATTAGATAGGTATATGAATGCATCATTTCAAACGATATTAACATATTAAGGGTCGTTATATATATATATATATATGTCCTCACACAAGGCATTTCGACTAAATAAACTAGTGACGCTTTTAAAATGGGTAGACTTGAAATTACAACATCATATCGATCATCAGCCTGCGACAGTCCACAGCCGAAGATATATCTCTCAACAATCACGGTGCCTAGGCTGACGTTGGACTTTACGCATAGTTACTGAAAGGTACTTTCCGCAGATCGACGATCGATTTAGCAAGGGGATAACCTACACTATGTTAACTGCCTCCATTCTATAACACGTCTACCCAATAGTGGTCAGTTCTGTTCTGTGACAGATGTAACCTGCCAATTTACATTAGCAAACCGTAACGTTATTTATACCACAGTATACAAAACACCATTTGTATAACATAAAATGTACTATACAATAATAATTTTCTGTAATCCATGTGTTAATTTATATGCATTATTTCAATGAAGAATAGTTAATAAGTATTAAAAACAATGGTTGTGTACGTAAACGAAATATAAGTTAGGTAAAGTTATAGTAAGTGTAATTAAGTTTAATTTATCTACATTCCATTTAAAATGAAACATATTAACTAACATAGTTATAATATAATTAGAATTATAGTTATATTGCACTAAGCCATCCTTTAACACACGTGCCATGCATTCGCTTTATAATAAATAAAACCTTTATCATATTATTATGTTGTTAAATAAAATTACATTATTGTAATAAATAAACTACGACAAATAAACAGTTTATTTGATTAAATATATTACATTTTTTACAAAGTCCGTCAAGCGAACTATGTTTGAGACAATTAAGTTATATTACTACTGGAAACATACATTGGTAATTCTGTGTTATTTATTTGTAAATAGCTGATTGATCCAAGGCCAACTATTGCGAAAACAATACAAACTGAATCATTGTATTTTGCGTGCAATGTAGCTACCTCGTCCCCAGAAGGAAAACTTGACGATTCTCTGGAACAAATAGAATAAGATAAGATAAGAGTTATAGATTGGTGAATGGAGACAGGACCATAAAGAAAATCTATATTTGCTCAAAGTCGCTAAAACATTGCCGACTATTTAAAAGAAAGTTCATGCATCTTGGTAGCAAATGGCTAAGCATTTGGCTACGGCCCTGCAGGGTCGTGGGTTGGAATCTCGCACTTTTAAAACGATTGTATGGCCTACAAATTATTGTTCCGCGTCTGGATGTTTGCCCATGTGTAATTTATGTATGAAAAACGCTGCATAATATTGAAGAAATTTATTCACAAAGCAAATATTTTAAAGCTAGTTAATACTTACTCTATGCACACTATTCTAAAATGTGGTATAGGTGGGTTTGTCTTTCTAAAATTTTGAACATCTCTATTGTAGACGTCAAAATTTATAACTAGACTGGCTTCAAACATTTTATCCTTATTCGCTTTTATAATACTTAGTTTCTTCAATACAGTAACCATATCAGTACAGTCCTCGGGTTTAATAATAGATTTTGATTCATTTTTATCCATTTCTGCTTCATTTTCAAAAGCTGCTGTAGTTTCTTCTAAACTACTCAAAAAAGAAATTTTTAGATCTACCCAGTTTTCATAATCATAAGGATGCATTTTCACAAACTCATAAATAAAATTTTCTGTGCATTCATTGTTTAATATTTTGCCAGATACAATTTCAGCTCTTCCAAAATCATTTACGTCTGGTAGCCAATTTCGGCCGAAGCATTTCAGAGTTTTTTCACTATACTTGTTATCTTTAACTGCGATTGAGTTATCACTGATATTATCGACACTTTCACTGCTAGTACTCGGATCATCTATTGATTTATTATGTTTTTCTGAGAGACGTTTCAAAATGTTAAATGGATTGCGTAACTTTTTACCACTGGAGGTATCGACACACTCATTTATAACACAATCAGAGTCTGAAGAAGAGTCGTCAAGAGTGATATATCTCCTATCTATAATATCATAATTACTGTTAATGTAAATATCAGCATTGTAAGATTTATTAAAGGTTTTGACTAGATTTGAAAAAGCTCGTCTATGACGAGCAGTGGCATTGTTATCACGTTCAAAGTCTTTTAGCTGATTGGCGAGTTGTTTAATTTTGTTAAAATTTTCTGTATATGTATCATATGATTCATCAACACGAGGTTTTTTGCTCCTTGTCTCTTCATCATCATCTAATTCTATAGTTTCTAAAATATTTTCATCCTCAATTATTTCGTAGTCACTGGAAAGACGTACTCTGGATTTATAACGCGTGTTATATGTTTGTATGAGCCTTTCAAGGGCTTCCATGTTCTGTGGTTGCCTGTTACCAGCTTGAATAAGATTTTTTAATCTTGCTGCTAGTCTTTTGAGAGATTCGAGATGGTAATTTTTGGCATTATCTCGCGTTCTTTTTCTAAAATTTCTAACGTTATATCTTTGGCCGTGAAAGGCATAACTCTGACTAAAGCAATTGGGTCTGTAAAATGGATATCTTGGTGTAAAAAACATATTTGGCACAGGAGGTCGATGATATAACATGCTAAACTGAAAAAAGTTTAAATTGGCGCGCGGCCGCCAAAAGTGAAATGGGCGAAACTGAATGTTATTCACTGTAAACCTTGAAAAGTTTGGGGACTGAAAAACTGAACTATTGTTAAATCTACTGCTATCCGAAATATTTCTCACTCTTCTTATATGTGCCCCATTAACTTCGTCACTAATGCTATAAGCTTGAGATTCCATTGACGGGGGTCGAAGGCATTTAGTTTTAAGTTGTTCTAAATTAAGTGTGTAAATATTTTTAATGAAGTTGATATTTTTTGGCACGCAGGATTTTTCAGGTACTTTTATAGAAACTGTGTGCTTGTTTAACAAATCTGGCAAGCACTTAAAGCAGTTGTGAATTTTCTTAGGATTACAAGATTTAAGCAGTCGCTTTTTCAACTTTAAAATTTGGTTTTGATAAATACTTGCTACATTCTTTTTATCTTCAAATTGTTTATAAGTTAATGTAGTATTTGATTCCTTAGAAGAATTTTGCAAATCTGTAAAATAAGATATTTAAGAGATAAGTTATATTATAAATAATGTCAAAATTTATATTATTATAACCCATAGCAAAATTTATTTTACCCGAGTTTGGTTCCTTTACCACTTCTGTATTTTTAGTCTCTCTGTTTACTTCATTAGTTGCTTTATTTTTACTGTTATCTCCACATGTAAGAAAATCTAAAAAACAAATAAAATAATTTACATTTGCACCGTTACAACTAATTTTAATTGATGGGAAATTAGCTCTTACCACTAGGTTTACTGTCACAAGTTACAATTTCCATGTCACAATCTTTTACACCGTTAGTTTTCATCGTTTTATTGATTTGGGCTTCTGCATCATTATTTTCGTTATTTTTACATTGTCCTGCATCACTTGAAGTACTTATATCAAGCAAAGTATCTTTAGAATTGTTATTTTCAGCATTATAGTTTTTTTTGCTCTGATTTATATTATCACTTTTAGCTTTTCTGTCCGTATGTCGGAATACTTTATAACCCAATCTACTCAGTGATGCATACACCTTATATTGTATAAAAGATTTCCTGTCTTTAAGCAATAATGAATATGCTTGTTGTAAAGAAACTTTTACATCATTGTGTTTAAGAAGTAGACAATTCTAAAAACATAATAAGTTATGTTAGAATCAGAAAACTTAAAAACTAAAATAATTTTCATTCCATCAAACCTAGATAAAAAGATATGATAGTTAATTTTTTTTAACAAAAAGTAAAACTGACTTTCAAAAACTAAATTTCAATGCTAAGATATAGTGTATCAAAGAATTATAAGTAAAGCCCCAACTGCGGAAACTATTATGAGGAAATTATTTTTGTTTTGTACTTTTTGAAGTCAGTTTTGCTTTATATTTATAACTAGCTGTGACCCGCGGTTTCACCCGCGTCATCACGTGTCCGAGGTGCACGACATGACCTAGTTCAAGCATTTTATAACGGCTAGGGTTTAAGCGTCGTTCGCGCGCTCAGCCAAGTACTGAATTATTTTAACTTTTTTTTAGACGGAGTAAGGGTCTATATTTTTCTAGAACATTGTATTTACGTATCCCTACCGATAACACCAGCGTACGCGGATAAATCACTTCGGGAGTGCGTTTTCTTCTGACTTGCTTAACAAATATCCATATTTAAGGCTAGCTGAGTATTATAGCTTAATGCTAGATAGCCTATACTATTCCACATGAATCTAGCTATAATATACAAAAAGAATTTTTCAAATCGGACTGGTAGTTCCAGAGATTAGCGCGTTTAAACAAACACAACATTTTAGTTGTTACCTTTGAACTAGGAATATAAGTATATTAAAACTTTAATCTCCTATTTTTATTTATTTATTACACTTAAGATGTACAATTGGCGGACTTAATGCCTTAGAGATATTCTCTACCAGTCAACCACAAGATAAGCAGAGAAAATTAAGCAGATGCCATAAAAACTTGAGAATATATACGTGAATGTAAACATAAACATATACATACTATACTTGTAATACAAAAATAAATATATATATATATAACTTTAAATAACCTAAATAATATACTCTATACCTGATACATCATTATCATCATTACAACCCTTCACAAGACCACTGCTGAACATAGACCTTCCCCAAGGAATGCCACAAAGCACGGTCCTGAGCCACCTGCATCCATCGACTTCCTACATGTCTTACCAGGTCGTCACTCCATATAGTGGGGGGACGCCCTACACTTCGTCCGCCGGTACGAGGCCGCCACTCGAGAACCTTTTTTCCCCATCGGCTGTCGATTTTTCGAGCTATATGGCCGGCCCATTGCCACTTCAGCTTATTAATCCGTTGGGCTATGTCGGTCACTCTGGTTCTACTGCGGATAATATCCTCATTTCTAAGTTTATCACGCAGAGAAACTCCGAGCATAGCCCTCTCCATAGTTCGCTGAGCGACCTTGAGCTTCCTCACCAGGCCAGCAGTGAAGATACACGTCTCAGTACCATAGGTCATCACTGGCAACACGCACTGGTTGTACAGTCTCGTTTTCAAGTTTTCAGGTATACCTGACGAGAAGATATGCCGTAATTTCCCGTACGCTGCCCAACCGAGTTGAATCCGTCGATTGACCTCTTGGTCGAAGTTGGACTTACCTAGTCGGACTATTTGTCCCCGGTAAATATACTCGTCAACAACTTCGAGCTTAGTGCTCCCAACAACTACCGGCATAGGTGTGACATGGACATTAAACATGATCTTTGTTTTGTCCATGTTCATCTTAAGACCTATCCGTTGGGAAAAACTATTGAGGTCATTGAGCATAGTGCTTAGGTCCTCCAGCGATTCTGCCATAAGGACTATATCGTCGGCAAATCGAAGGTGAGTGACGTACTCGCCATTGATGTTAAAACTGTATCCTTTCCAGTCCAGAAGCTTGAAAAAGTCTTCCAATGCAGCGGTGAAGAGTTTCGGGGATATAACGTAACCTCTTACACCTCTCTGTAATTGGATAGGTTTCGTACTCTGGTTCTGTACTCGGATAGCCATCGTAGCCCTACTGTACAAGCACTTTGATATACCGACAGTCAACTAGGCATCGCTGAAGGGACTGCAGCACCGCCAAAATTTCGACGGAATCAAAAGGTATCTCATAGTCCACATACGCCAGACATAGTGGCAAATTGTACTCCTCGGACTTCTGTACAATTTGCCGAAGGGTATGTATGTGGTCTATGGTGCTAAAGCCTTTCCTGAAACCGGCTTGTTCGGGAGGCTGGAAGTCGTCAAGTCTGCGCACGAGACGATTCGTAATGACTCTCGAAAACAGCACGTAGATGCGGTTCAGAAAGGAAATCGGTCTTTAGTTCTTCAAGAGAGCGTAGTTACCTTTCTTGAAGAACAAGACCACCGCACTTCTGCTCCACGCCTCCGGTATAGTGTCACCATGGAGGACGGAATTAAAGAGCTTCTGAAGGACTTCAAGTACCGGTTTTCCACCCGCTTTCAGAAGCTCAGCTGTAATTCCATCCTCGCCTGGGGCCTTGCCGTTTTTAAGGTGCTGGAGAGCCATTCTAATCTCGCTCAGACTGACGACCAGGATATCATCGGTATAGTGTCGGATAAGACTTGCTCTTGGATCGTTACTCACACTTACGTGTGGCTCCAACGATGATGTGTACAGCTGTCCATAGAACCTCCCAATCTCACTCAAAATCTCAGGTGTCCCGGAAACGACGCAAACACACTCGGTCTTCAGCTTTAGAAGTTGGCTCTTTCTGGCAGACAGATCTCTAGCAAAGACTTTGGAGCCCTGGTTCCGCTCGCTCGCTTCTTTAATACGAGCAGTATTAAAGTTGCGTAAGTCCCGCCGCATGTATTTGGAGATCTGTCTGTTCAGTTGCCTGTATGCTATCAAATCTACTGAAGACTGCAGCTTCATATCCCGTCTAACAGCCATGAGATTAAGAGTGTGATCGGAGAGTTTTTGTGTTCTTCTGCGGCGGGTCTTGCAAAACTTGGCTCCGACCGCATGGACAGTTTCCACGAGCTTGTCATTCATATCGTCCACTGCATTGCAATCTTCTAGGCACTGAAAACGGTTTCGTAGCTCGAGCTGAAAGGTTTCGGGACTTTGGATTAGAGCACGAGGGGGACGGAGCGTTGACTTCATTAGACGTGACCTCTCCAACTTAACGTTTAGGTTCAGTGTGCCTCTTACCATTCGGTGATCGCTGCCGGTTTTCACCCTCGCGATCACGGAGACATCACTGAACAGTTGTCGTCTGGTCGTCATAATGAAGTCAATCTCATTTTTTGTCGAACCGTCGGGGCTCGACCAGGTCCACTTCTTGTGGGGCCGAGAGTCCCTCTTTCTCCATGAAGTCGGCCAGCTGCTGGCCCCTTGGATTACGTTGCCCTATTCCGAAATTCCCTACTTTCAGCTCACCGTTCTCTCTTGTGCCTAGTTTTGCGTTGAAGTCTCCCATTAACACCGTATAATGGGTTTTGGAGGAATGTATGGCTTTCGAGATATCCCCATACATTTCCTCCACCCCCTCATCGGGGTGTGCCGAGGTTGGTGCGTAAACCTGTATGACCTTCAGCGAATACCGTTTGGTGATTCTGAGTATAAGGTACGCAACCCTCGTCGACACACTCCCAATCTTTACAACGTTGTTAACGAGAAACTTGTGGACGATAAATCCAACACTTCCTTGGGACAGATGGTTGCCCTCCCAGTGATAGAACAAATTGCCGGATTCGAGGATTACCGTGTCCTCCCCCTCTCTTCGGACTTCGGATAATCCTATGACATTCCAGCGCAACTTGTCTATCTCTTCTTCCAGCTCCAGGATCTTCTCGTCAGTCCTCAGGGTGCGTGCGTTATAAGTTGCCAGGTCGAGTCGTCATAGGTGGCAACCGAACCTCCACCGGAGATTCTTAGCACCCCCTGCCCCGCCGTTACCATGGTCGCCACCGTAACCAGGAATAGCGGGGCCGCCAGGGACTGGGGGCCGTCTCTTCGTTACCTTCATGAGGGCCATAGTTGCCACGCTTGGCGAGCGGGTTGGCAACCGCAATTTTTTTATTGTTGTTTTGCTGTTATCAAAAAGATGCTGCTGCCCATCTTCTGTCTCAGGTTCCCTCTGTCGCCTTTTACGACACCCACGGGAAGATATGGGGTAGTGAGTATTCTTACCCGCCACTACACGGGATACATATACATACATAATTTTAAACAATACATAATACATACATTTTAAGCATACTTACATACAAACCTATTATATAAAACAAAACTTAAGCAATTTATAGTACACTTATGCACAAACATTTAAATAAGAAGGTCAGTTGCTGAAAGAAGAAAGGGGGTGATCAGTCACCATTCTTTTAAAAGCTGCAACAGAAGTCGGCTTCCTGATATGAGGAGGTAATTTATTCCATAGCCTTATGGCCTCAGCGGCGAAAGACTGAGACATAAATTTAGTACGGCGAGGAAAAACACATAAAGTAGTTCCCTCGGAGGATCTCAGGTTGCGATCGTAGGAAGAACCCAAATACTGATACTTGCATTTCAGGTATTTGGGAGTGCATGGATCATATAGGATTGAAAATAGCGTGCGAAGAATTCTGATGCATCTATGCTTTATGGATAGGGAGCCATTTAAGCTTAGAACGATATAAGGATACATGATCATATTTACGAAGGCCAAAAATAAAACAGATGCAATTATTTAACAAACGATCCAATTTGCACAGAAGTACTTGACTCACATCAGGGTAACACACATCAGCATAATCAATGACGGGTAAAACAAGTGTTCGCACCAACATAGCCTTAGTCTCGGTTGGAAGGAAATTCTTGAAACAATAAAGACCACGCAGAGTGATTGTCACTCTCTGGCTTATTTCAGCTACCTGAGATTGCCAACTTAAATTAGCATCAATCATTAACCCAAGGTCTTTAACTATATGTCTAAGAGAAATATTTGTGCTATTGTAAACAATAGGCTCCAGTGAATTGAAATCTAATTTAGCTAGACAATAAGGGCTACCAAGAATTATGGTTTGACATTTAGAGGATTGACAGCAATTCCATAACTTGTGCACCAGTCGCAGATGGCCTGAAGATCTAGATTTAAAATTTCAATCGCAGAGTTAACCTCTGCTGGTTCAATCCGAGCGTACAGCTATAAATCGTCAGCATACAGATGGTAGGAGCAATTGAAATTTACAGTTATGAGATTTATAAAAATAGAAACTAATAAAGGAAAAAGAATTCCGCCTTGTGGAATGCCAGTAGCAAGATCAGACTAATCAGAGAAACACTGTTGATTGACCTTAACTCTTTGCTGGCGACCACAAAGATAAGTTGATAACCAATCCAAAACTGACGAAGAGAAGCCCATGTACTTACAGATAGCAAGAAGAATGTCATGATTGACTGTACACAAAGCATTAGAAAAGTCAATTAATATGAAAACTGCTAATTTTGACTCCTCCATACCCTCTCGTACGTCCTTGAGAACTTTAAGGAGAGCTGTGGTTGTACTATGTCCGGGACGAAAACCAGATTGTAAGGGACTAACTATGTCCGGGACGAAAACCAGATTGTAAGGGACTAAGAAGTTTATTTTTATATATGTATCTGGGTAGCTGTTTGTGTGCAGCTGACTCTAAAATCTTTGAAAAAAAGGAAAGATTAGAAATTGGTCAAGAATGGTTTACTGGGATTATCTAACTTGGGAAGAGGAAGGACAAATGCTTTACGCCAACAAAATGGAAAAAACCCAGTAGAAAAAGATAAATTGATGATGTTGGTAATGATTGGGAGAATGTTGTCAAGTATGGGAATAATCATATTTCTACTCACATCATCATAGCCAGCTGCTTCAGATTTCATAGAAAAAATAATTTTACGAACATCTTCATCAGTTATTGGAGAAAAAGCAAATCGATTTTGGGAAGAGATGAGATAAGTGAAATGGTTTTATGTTATTGCTATTTTTCTTACTCTTAAGGATGGAATGTTTACTTTAAATTTATATGTGAAGTAAAACTTATTAAATAAAAAAGAATTACTTTAATCGGTTAAGACTTTTCGAAGAAATTGGTAAATATACAAAAATTAAACACACAATAAAGAACCTTTTCGTTTTTTTTTTTTAATTTGGTTAAAATGATACCAAGGCAAAAGCACTTGCAACTTCTACATTTTTACAATGTATATTAATACATACTTCATCAAATTAACATTGAAAGGCATGAATTTAAAGGGAAGACAAAAAAAAACAAGAAACCATTTAGTTTTGGATCTGTAAGGTAAAGAAAAATCTTAAGAATCCAAAAACTTTATATAAGATCACAGGAAAACTTGGATGCATTGTCATAGGTATCTAGACTAGACTAACACAATATCATCAGACACAAAAAATATAGAAAATTATGAAAGAGTACCAAGTATTGTAAGAAATAAAATTATTGATTATAATATTATACTTACAACTTCCATTAAGAAAAGGGCTTCCTCAGGGAAAAGAAATAGTTTTTTGCCAACATTGTGACCCATGAATTGCCAGTGCCCTCCCGATTTTTGTGTCACTTCAGCCAGCATTAAACTTTCTCTCCACACTGCATGACTCAATACTCCACTAAAATAGGTAAAGTAATAAAATATATGAAACAAAATCATAGACCGATGAATTTAGTTGCGGCGGAGCATTAAGCAAAAGGGGAGGACTAATTCTCACCCAAGGGGCCCGGACTGGCAGCCATGGGGTGGCCAGTGCTGGTGTGCAAAAGCGTTCTCGTGGCCCTGCCAATATGCGGCAAAAGTGGAACACCATGGGGTTATAGCTGGTGCGAGTCCGTCATATCTAGTCCTTGCTCGAGGTGGGTATGTGTATGCATTTCCCCATGTTTTTTTACACAAAAAAAGAGGTTATAGTTAAGTGTCGACCACCGCTCATGAACAACTGCAACACCAGGAGAATTGCAGGTGCCTTGCTGGCCTTTTCAAAGGTAAGACGCTCATTTCTTGAAAGTTTCTATGTCGTATTGGTCCGGAAAAATTCCCAGTGGCAAACAATTCCACAGAGAAGTTGTGGGAGAAAAAAAACTTGTAGTAAATTACACAGTAGTGGACCGCCAAGCATCCAGATGATGTGAATGGTAATGTGAGTTTTGACGCAATGTGTGTTGGTGAAATTTTTTTATTTCTGGTTTCTGAACTTGAGAATGATAAGCACCCTCGCGGTTAAAATAGCTATTCTGGAGAGCTAGTAAGACTGGTAATAGATAATTTTATAATCATTAATTTAATCAAATCAGGAATTAGCAAAATATGACACATGTTCTCACGGTGCATGTAATAACCTACACTCATAAAAATGATCTAGTTGTGCATTATCACTGTGATATTCATAACGTGTGGCAGATGCTAAAAAAGCTATATTTCTTGCAATTTACTACAATTAATAAAGACTGACTAGATTGAATAGGTTAGAAGTTTGCTGAATACAAAATAGAATGGGAAAGCTTTAAAAATGAAGCAAAGAGAGGTCTGCCACCTATTGTGGTCACTTAAAATAATATTCCAGCAGTCGAAAACCTTATTCAGCAAAATCAACAAATTTTATATCTACACCTTCATTTGATTGATTGATCTCTCTCAAGCGAAAATTGGGTATTGGATCAGCAGCAATAAAAACCTTCACTTGCAACCATTTTCTAAAAAGAGGTCATTCTCAATAAAACTGTATGTTTTTGTAAGTATGTACCATAATATCAAAATTAATGATTGATTTAAAAAATATAAGCAAAAATGTATTTTGTAAGACCCCAGGTGCAAGACTTCTCGTACTGTGATTATCAATGAGCCTGCTAAGAATGCCAGTTAAGGCATATCTTCCTACAAAAGGGTGGCCCAATTCTATCAGTAGACTTTGAAGGTTTCATGAAGAAAAATGAGACGATAAAATAACCCCTAACCATCAGGTGAGGATTATAGTCAAAAATACTAGCTTATAATTTACAAAAACAAAGCTTAAATATCTCAGTAAGTTTCCATTTCCAAATACTTTAAGGAAGAAGAAAGAGGGAGTATCATTTCAACCCCACTTTAATAAGACAACTGCAAAATGGATCTAATCTGTGTAGAGCCTAAAAATGGAGAACCATAGATTGAAAACATGAAATACCATAAATCACACTTCTTGATTTGGTGATAAAAATAAATTTACCTCTTTTCTATTCGTTCAGCATCAATTAAGTGTTTTCTACTTTCAATAGCAGATTGTATCTGTTTTTGTTCCAACCAAGACCCAGTAGGGCTTACATTTTTTAACCCCAATTCAGGAAGAGTTGCTTGATTCTTGGTTATGCCTTTTTCCACAAGTTCGTAACCACTGCAAAATTACGGAGATAATAATATAATATTTTATAAAAGAAGGTTTACACATTGATTTCCTTGGTTATAAAATACTAATACTTTTTTAATACTAACCTTAAAATGCGAGACTTATTCATTACTCCCCTTTAATATTTAAAACCAGTAAATTTTTTATTTTAACACGAAGTATGTTTTAATCATAAAATAAATTAGGCGACGTTACAAATTACTTCAACTTCTTTAGCGTAGAACTTCTCTTAGTTACAAAGTATCACTATTTACAATAATAAAAATACTCTGACAAACGGTTGATATTCCGATTCCATAGATTACTGCAAGATTCTGAATCTGATGTGTTTTTCTTCACAGGTCCTCAGAAGTCAGAATCTTTGAGCATAGGAAATAGAGATGCTCGACTCGAAGCTCTGAACTAGTGTACGTTAAACATCGATTGACTATCGATGATATCGATAGTAAATGGCTATCGATACTATCGATAGTTTTTAAAACTATCGATCGAGGTATGCATGTATGTAGGTTTTTCCCCGGCTATAGTGACAACGGCGTAGACATTGAGATTGTTCCCTATGATAGTAAGGAATTACCGTGCGTATATCATCCATTTACAAGACAAAAGTCAGTCAGTCAGTTTTTTTATTGTAGATGTTTGAAGTTGAGTGGAGTAACAAACAATTTAGAATTAAACAATAAAACATGAGTAGTAAGTCACGTGCGTGGGATTACTTCAAAAAGACTAATAAAAAGTTTGCCAAGTGTTCTTTGAGTAAAAGAGAGTTTAAAATAAGTGGAAATACTACGAACTTGGTCGATCACATGAAGAGAAAACATAATAAGGTATGGATATGGTCATCCACTGTTTCTGTTACTCAAGACGTAGATACGACTGAGCAAAATGGGCCCAAGCCCTAAAAAGAGAAATACGCTAAAAAGTTATTTTGACAGATGGGAAAACAAAGCAAAAGTTGGATAACAAATACCTGCGCATGATTGCTGTTGACATGGAACCTTTGCGAAAAGGAGAACATGAAGGATTTCGGGATTTTGTAATGCGATAGCAGATATGAAATTCCTGATACAACAACATTGAAGAAGAAATTACTGCTGGAATATTATGAAAACGTGAAACAAACAACAAACTACAAAAAAAATTTGTAGAAGATGAATCTCAGTTACTGAAAGCGGAAAGAAAATATTACTCTGTGTGAAGGGATCAGTTGACAAAAGACTAAGTCCCTATGCAAACAGGACACTTGTTGTACTTGCTACAACAAGTGTCCTGTTTATTTATATTTATTATTACTAATATTGGACTCCCGATTTAAGAAGAAGGGGTTCAAAACAAGTGACGACGAGAAGCGAGCTGGTCAGTGGCTGGAAAAGGCCTATGCTAACCATTTAACTAAAGAACGCTTGGCTGTAGAAGAAACGCAACCAACACCATCCATGTCTTCAGGAACATTTAATGACCTGTTGGGATTACTAGACGTTCCGGACGTATCGACCCCTTTGAGTAACTCATTGTTAGATGTCAGGCAATATCTCGAGAAGCCAGTAATTGACAGAAAAGAGTGTCATATAACATACTGGAAATAGACCAACAATAAATTGAAGGAATTGGCGATGCTCTATATTTATATTCCAGCACCTTCTGTGCCTTCGAAACGGATCTTTTTGAAGGCCAGAGAAAATTTAACCGAGCGCAGAAATAGGTTAAAAGAAACAAGATTAAACGAATTGTTGTTTATAAAACAAAATACCTGCTATTTTAATGATTGATTTGTAACTATAATAATGATGAATGCTGATTTTTGATTGTTATTTCGAATATATATCAAAATAAAACTCTACGTTTCGTATAACATTTGTTATTTTATTGATGTTACGCTAATCCTACAATTTTTTAAACTATCGATAGACTATCGATACTATCGATAGTTTTTAGTAAAACTATCGATACTATCGGATTACCAAACTATCGATGTTTAACGTACAGTACTCTGAACACAGACTTTTCACAATTACAATAAGATTGATGACATATGACATTTTGCCGACTGACTTTAATTTGACACTGGCATTTGATTTGATCACTTCTTACTAAAATCAAAAGAATCTATGCACATACTGCCTAAACGGTGACAATAGTATCACAAGTCACCTAAGCGACTAAAAAACTTGAGATTTGTAACATGATTGGATCACTTGTTCGTTAACACAGCATCGTTTCCCTATTAGTTCACGTGCACAGATATTTAGATCCCAAAACCGTACAACTTTTAGCCATTTCACTATCCCGTAGGACACATATTATGAAATTTTTTTTCAAATTCAAATTCAAATCGTTTATTGCGAATATAGGTTGATACAGTTGGTGTTTACATAGTTTATCACTTATAGAACAAACATTTAGTACAGCTATATTCCGCCATTTGGTATGCAATGTCCATCACATTTTATTACTTTTATATTAAATTACTTAAACATACTCTAGTTAAAATTGGAATTAACATGATACAAAATCAAAAATAATAGCGATAAGTCAATTTAGATAATATTGTATAAGTCAAGTCAATTTAGTTATTCTCAGTCATGTAACAGTCAATTATTGAATTTCATATTTGTCTTCGAGATATTCTTTCACACTGTAGTATGCCTTATTAAGAAGAAATTGCTTCAATAGTATTTTAAACTTATCTATATTGGAGCATCTCAAAATGTGTAATGGTAAATGGTTATAAATTCTAGGGGCCATACAAAATACACTGTTGTTAAATTGGGCTGTGTTGTTTGATGGAAAACATATTTTTTGATTATTACGTTTACTGTGTAGGCACTCAAATAAAGAACATTTCGATTGTTTAAGAGGGAAGTTGATAGGTTATTTATATTTATGTATCCACTTCAAATTATTATTTAAACAATTATACGACAGCAATATTTGATTGATTGTTGCTTCAGATTACTAACAGATATACTGACGCATATCCTGTTTTAATGTAAATCTTAAATAAAGCAACTTATCAAAGCTTGAAATCCTACTTTATTTTAGTTTTATAAACAAAGGGACTTGTGTCCATACACTACTGTTTTATTCATAACTTTAGGTGTTAAATTGCGAAGTTTTTTAGGAGATTTTGACAACAACTTAACGAAGCAGACAGCCGGTGACGATGGTTTTTAAGGTGCCGAAACTCAGACGCTTTTAATAAACTATTATTTAAAACTAATTTCTCAATTAAGTGACATTGTGTAACAGAAAACTTAACCTCTGTCACAATTAGCGACATCTGGTGGCCCTCATTACCCGCCGTGCGATACTGCATCACTCAATCAAAATATCATAAGGTTGTAAGATGTAGGGTGTGTTTGGACATACACTGCGAGCACTGCTCAGTGCTCTTACCGCTGGTGAAAAATTCGTTGCGTTATTGACTGCCAGTATACTGCCGCAATATCCTAGGGAAATATGACGTCATAAATTGCCGCCATTTTTATACTGTGAGCACTGGCGCTATCGATGTAAGGTGCTCTCAATACTTTGATCACGTGATCAAAAACATAACATCGACTAGAGATTTAACAGCTTCTACGAATGATTGTTATTATTATTAAATAATATCGTTATTCAAATAAGCTCGGTCTTTAAGTTTTAAAAATAACAACATTCAAATAATAATTTTTCTTGTTGAACAGAAAACCTGTACATGATTAATATTTTCATTTGAAAACAGTGTCGAAACATGGGAATAGCAGTATACTGGACCGCGTTCCGTTTTAAACAGTAACCAGTGTAGCAAACTAAAAAGGAACGGCTTCACAGTATACGTCACACCTTATAGTGGTTACAGTGTACATCGAAACACAACCATAATTTTCTTGGGCATCATTAGTCGCTGGAGCGATAAGCGACCAGTAACCATATGATCACAGAACACAAATACCCTCTACCGAGAGCACATTTTCGCCAATGTTATATAATTTGAAATAACCTCATCATCATCATCATCATCATCATCATTACAACCCTTCACAAGTCCACTGCTGAACATAGGCCTCCCCCAAGTAATGCTACAAAGCACGTTCCCGAGCCACTTGCATGCATTGACTTCATGTATGTCTTACCAGGTCGTCACTCCATCTAGTAGGGGGACACCCTACACATCGTCTGGCGGTATGAGGATGTCATTCGAACACCTTTCTTCCCCATCGGTTGTCGGTTCTTCGAGCTATATGGCCGGCCCATTGCCACTTCACTTACTAATCCTTTGGGCTATGTCGGTTACGACAGTTCTACTGCGGATATCCTCGTTTTTAAGTCTATCACGGATACAAACGCCGAGCTCTTTCCTTAGCTGGCTGAGCGACTTCGAGCATCCTCATATAGCCAGCAGTGAAGGGCCACGTCTCAGATCCATAGGCTATCACTGGCAACACGCACTAGTTGTACAATCTAGTTTTGAGGTTTTGAGGTATGCATGACGTGAAGATGTGTCGTAATCTCCCAAACACTGCCCAGCCGAGTTGAATCCGACGATTAACCTGTCGGTCGAAGTTGGACTTACTTAGACGTACTATTTATCCCAGGTAAACATATTCGTCAACAACTTTGAGGTTAATGCTCCCAACAATTACCGGCATATGTGTGACATGGACGTTAAACATGATTTTTGTTTCATCCATGTTCATCTTAAGACCTATCCGTTAGGAAACAATATTGAGGTCGTTGAGCATAGTGCGATTCTGCCATATGGACTTGTAGCGGGTGGAAGGAAAGGGAGAGATCTCCCGCCGGGCAAGGTGTTCTGCCCGGGGAGCGGCCAACGCTTCGATTGGCAGTTCGAGGCTATTCTATATATACTGCTTTAACTTCGGAACTTTGTTAGTGCGATTTAGGCTTAGATGTGTTTCGCTAGTGGCGCGACGACAGCGCCGCCACAGACTATATCGTCGGCAAATCGAAGGTGAGTGATGGACTCGCCATTGAATACCGTATCCTTTCCAGTCCAGTTGCTTGAAAACGTCTTCCAATGCAGTGGTGAAGAGTTTTGGGGATATTACGTCACCCTGTCTTACACCTCTCTGCAGTTGTATAGGTTTCGTACTCTGGTTCTGTACT